AGGAGGACTCAAAAACATCTCACCCAAATTTCCTGTAATCATGCTTGTGCACTGCATCTGTCACATATGTCTGAGCACGTACCGGGGCTCTCCACAGCACTTTATGGAATCTGCTAACCAGCCGCACATCTAAACCACGGGAGGGCTTGAGGGAAGGTGCACAGGGTGTTGGGATGGGTCTCAGATCCTGCATTATCTGAAACCACGGACGGTTGGCCCATTCATGGAATCTGGGGAAATTCAGATGGGGTCTTTGGCATCTTCAGAATTTCATTAATATTTAGTGCAGCTCTTTGCAGGGAGGGCAAACAACTCTGAGGAGTACTAGATTACTGTCATGGGCATGTTTACCATGCAGAAAGCACTGGTGGACTGTTACACAGGGGTTTGAGAGTTTCCTTATTTGAGGAAGCTGGCTGGAGTTTTTTTAAATGGGATATTATTATTTTCCCTATTCTTCAAATAATGGGATCTGAGCTCCCACTAGTTGAAAATTTCACTAACCAACATGTTCCTCAAAAGGGACTATTCAGATAACGAGGGATGACAGCATTTGACGTTTTCACCAGGTGAGTGCTTTATTTCAGTATTTAATTTGGAGGAACAATAGAGGGATATGGAGCTCTTGTTAGTGTTCCTGAAGACCTCGCTTAATACAAAACTCACATGATTCAAGTCTTGAGTTTCCCACAGTGAAAAATCCGAAGTAAGTGTGGGGTGGGGGCCGGGAGTATGTTCTCAGAAATCACAACTCTTCAGACATTGGAGGGTGTTGTCATTTTACTTCTCCATTTTATTTTCTCAGCATTAACTCTAATGATTATTCTCAGAAACCCTCACATAAATTAACAGTAGAGTGCAGCCCAGTGGTTATTAAGGCTTCTTCACAATATTTCATTACAGCTAACTCTGTTCCCAAGGAACTGATTCAGGGCCCACCTTTCAGCCTAGCTTCACTGCTGATTCTGTTACAGAATCTAAACAGGACTGTATTATCACAGCGGCAGTGAACATCACGGTCACCCAAGTTCTGATGCCAGACAACCACCACTCTGCATCACGTGCTTCAGGCCCAGCTGCCTCCCTGGGATGGCAGTGCTGCCCCGTGGGAGCAGCGTGCTTGTGATGCGCTCTGCCAATCAGCTTTGAATTGTGGGAGATTCCATTACATTTTTTTTTTTTTAATTTGGGGGGAGGCATAAAGTTGAAATTTTATTAGTATTTTTATATCTCAGTATCTTGTATTTGCTTGATTCATTATTTTAACTTAGAAAAGAAAAACCTAAATATAGTAATGAAATTATTTTTCTTCATCTTTCATAGTAGTGAGTCAAAAAGGTAAATGTGAATTTCATGAATCAGGATGAAAATCTCTCTTTTAGAAATATGGAGGTAACCCTAAGGAACCAAAAAACATAAGTTAAAAATGGCTGCCTCTGAATCACAAAAAGAAAGTGTTGATATGTACAACATAAATGATCCTTAAAAACAGAAACCAGACATGAAAGGCCATATATTGTATGATTCCCTTTATATGAAATGTCCAGAAAACAAAAATGAAGAAAGTAAATTAGTAGGTGCCAGGGGTTGAGGGCAGTGGGAACAGGTACTGACTACTAATGGGTACAGGATTTCTTTTTGGGTTGATGAAAACGATCTACAAGTAGATATTGGTTGGTAATAGTTATCCAATTCTGTGAATATATGAAAACTCACAGAACTAAGGGTGAACCTATGGTATTTGAATAGTATTTTTTAAAAGTTGTTATAAAAAAGTTTTGTTGGGTGCCTGGGTGGCTCAGTGGGTTAAGCCTCTGCCTTCAGCTCAGGTCGTTATCTCAGGGTCCTGGGATCGAGCCCCATATTGGGCTCTTGCTCAGCGGGGAGCCTGCTTCCTCCTCTCTCTGCCTGCCTCTCTGCCTACTTGTGATCTCTCTGTCAAATGAATAAATAAAATCTTAAAAAAAAAAAAAAGTTTTGTTTAGGGCATCTGGGTGGCTTAGCTGGTTAAACAACTGCCTTCAGCTCAGGTCTTGAACCGGAGTCCTGGGATCAAGTCACTCACACATCGGGCTCCCAGCTCCATGGGGAGTCTGCTTCTCCCTCTGACCTTCTCCACTCTCCTGCTCTCTCTGTTTCTCTCTCAAACAAATAAATTAAAAAGTTTTGTTTGTTACATCCTGCTTCTAATGAAGAAGCTGGGCAAGAGAAAAGGGAGATGTCACCTTTCCAATACCATCTACTCTGCTATCCTATTTCCTGCCACCTTTCCCGTGTCAACTCTGCTATCCTATTTCTCTCAGGAGCCATCCTTATGCTCTTACAGTCACAAAGTTCCCCTGCTGTCACTCCCTTACACCTCTAAAGTCTTCTCCTAGGCCCTGGTCACACGGACACCTGAAATGCAAGCCTGCTTCCCAGAGCCCCCTTCTCCCCACACTCCGGCCAGGGACACCCTTCCAGCCATATTTTAGACACTCACACCTCCTGCTCCCAACGCTTATGAGGCTCTTTATTACCACCAGGATGGCCCTGGCTCTGCAGCAGGCATTCAGGGCACGGCAGGGTTCATCCTAGCCTCTCCATCCTAAATTCTGATTGGGGTCAGCCTTCACCCAGATGCTGGTCATGAAATACCCTCGCCCCTGCCACACACCAGTGGTGCTATACAAGGCCAGACCCCTGCTTACCAGGCTGATGAATCCCTTTTACCTCTTGGTGCAAGTGTATCATGTCTCCCGGGCAGCCTCTCTCCCCACAATGGAAGGATTCCAGCTGCTCTGAACCCCAGAGACTCTATGCAAACCCACCCACTTGTCAAAGCATTAGTTGGGCTCGGCTTCGCCAAGGCTTAGGGCCTCCATAAACATCTCAGGCTCATGTCCTGAACCCCATGTACAGCACCAGCAGGCCATGAGTCTCAGTAGCCAAGTGAACCATCTTGGAAAGGGAACAGAGAATTCCTCAAGACCAGGGCTTGTCCATGTTCCTGTCCCAGCAATCAGGGAGCTCACAGGACAGCATCAAACTGAATGAGGCACTGAATACATGAGGTAGGGTGGGAGGAGGAAGGGGGGCTGCCGGCCAAAGGGGTAGCCCCTCCGCCTCCAGAACAACACATAGCAGAGCTGGGGCTCAGGAATGGGAATAGGCTGGTTGATAATGTGGCTCCAAGTCACAGAAAACTGTTTAAATTCTTCCTGAATGCTCAGAAAGCCATAAACTTTTGGCCGATTCCTTCTCTGCCCAAACTCTAGCTGTTATAAAGTGATTAGGATGGCAGGGGACAACCCGGACACCTTAGGGAAGAGCACAGCCCTTCAGGAAAAAGCAGAAGCCCCACTTCACCTGGATTTGGGCTTTTGGGAGCCCAGTGGCCCTCCTCTCCTCCTCGGCATTCTCTTCCACATGGCAGTCCTGAGGACACAGAGCTGGGGAGGAAACAAAGTCACAAAGGCAGCTCTCTCTGCAATAACTATGCCCACACAAGACCTTCCTCCTGGGGGGGGGGCAGGTTGCTCAGGGAGAGCCAGTTCCTGATCTTCTCTCTCGGGCAAATGAGAAGACTCACCTCCTCATTTTACAGATGAAGGAAATGGGGCTCAGAGAAGATAAGGAATGTGCCTAAACATGAACCCTGCACTGTCCCCGTTTGCTCTGAGGCACTGTCTCTGAGAAGCAATGTCATTCACTTCTTCTGGGCCTGAGCCACAAATGGCCACACATTTATTCTCATGCACCCCATCCTGGAGCTGTCACCATCACTTTATCTCCCAGTGGCATGTTCTGATCCTTTCCTGTTCCAGCTCTGCACAGAGACAGATCCGGACCAGAATCCCTCCCCTCCCACCCCCGCTCTAAACCCCCGCCTCTGATTCCTGGCTGAGGAAGGACAGTGCTGAGAGAAGCCAGGACATAGAAGCCAACATGGCCAATGGCGACACAGGGTCTTGACTCACCCCAGGAGGCCCATGGATCAACAGCCGCAATTCCCCCAATTCCCCAGGACTGGTCCGTAAGGACACCTGCAACAGATCAGGTTAGGACAAGTAAAGGCAAGGCACTCTGACAACAATCCTAGTGACTAAAGGCAACAAAATGGAAAAGGAGGTCTGTCTCACTAATGGGTGTAACAAAGTTCCATAAACACAGCCCAAGGGCACGTGACAAAACCCAACATAATAAGCTAGATTTAAACCAGAAATTCACAGGTAAGTCATTATCAGAAAATCTGCTGTGATGTAGCCACAGAACAGTTAAGAACAGAACCCCTTAAACAGCCAAAGAGATATCTAATAAAATGTTTAACATTACCTAATTTTTAAAAATAGTCTTAGTAAGGCACTCCCTTGACGTCTTTATGGATAAATAAGTGAAACCTCACTTAAAGATAGTATACCGCTGACATCACACTACTTAACAGTTTTTTTTTTAAAGATTTTATTTATTTTATTTGACAGACAGAGATCACAAGTAAGCAGAGAGGCAGGCAGAGAAAAAGAGAAGGAAGCAGGCTCCCACTGAGCAGAGAGCCCGATGCCTGGGCTCGATCCCAGAACCCTGGGATCACGACCTGAGTCAAAGGCAGAGGCTTTAACCTACTGAGCAACCCAGGCACCCCTTAACAATTTTCTTAAATTACATGCCAATGCTGTAAAACCAGAAACAAAAATAAAGCTAAAATATGTCAGTGGTAGAGAAATTCTGAATGAATGTATAACTGTCTAAGAAATCCCACAAATCACTAGAAAATCTCTTAGAACTAATGAGACATCTTAGGACTATAAAATATACAAAAATTACACAGTGTTTTACAACAAGTTTCCCTTTTCACCAACAACCAAATTGTTTTTCTTTAAACGTCACTCAGTTCTAATTCTATACCAAGACCAAGAGACCCCCTCCAATCCCCCCAAACACCTGGCCCCTGCCCAGCTTTGACCCCTGGCTGCAGCAGGCTGCTGCTGAGAAGGCCCAGAAGAAACAGAATTTGGACTCACCCCAGGAGGGCCACGGGTTTATGGCTGCCATCTCACAGGATCAATGTACCAGGTGCCTGCGCAGGTGCACAGGGCCAGGGACTCCGGTAACTGACGGAATACAACTGCCGTACCAACCTAATGACAAAATGGAAACCACAAAAGCGGTCCTTTCTCTGGAGAAGATCCAGAGGGAACAAAGACAGCTTATAGGCAGAAGGAAGAGCAGACTTCTGTAAGCATTGTAAGAAAACAGAATTTACGTGTCAAAAAAACAGAATGAAGAGTGAGATGATTAAGCTGAAGAAAGAGCACAATCCGGGCTGAGAGGGTGGAAATTTGTCAATGGCTCCCAAGAGACAGCCAATGACAACTTCGAGGTAACTTTTTGGTGATTCACAAAAATTACTGTAATATCTACTTGCACCGCCCCCAAAATCAGTGGCTGCTTAGACCTGGGGGTAGGGAGGAATGCGGACGGACCGCTTAACGGGTGCAGGGGTTTCTTTTGCGAGGTGATGAAAACGTTCCGGGATTAGATGGTAGTTTTTTCACTTCAATTCTCTAAATGCACAACAAAACCAGTGAATCCTAGTCTACAATGGTTAATTTTATGTTATGCGAATTTTATCTAAAAGGAAAGGAGGGAGAGAAGCAAGAAATCAACCTGCAAAACCTACCAGACCCAAGGCTGTCGTGTTTCCTGGAGCCCAGACCACAAGCTCCGGAGGTTCCAAGTCTTTGTGCAAGCCCCAAGACCTCTCTGAGGCCTCCAGGGCCAACTGGCAGAGCTCTGCGGATTCCTGGGAGCGCGCTTAAAGCACCAGGACGCCTACTGGGCCCCCGGAACACCGGGACCTGCTCCAAAACTCAAAGTAGGCAAACTATTCTGCACCGCTGTTTGCAACTTAACGAAGTCCGCCGTCACTGCAAGCGTCAAGGAAGCGAGGCCTGTTCCCCTCCCGCGTTCGAAGCTGTCCTTCAGCGCCTCCGGCGAACCCGCGAGGACGAGAAAACACCCGCTGGGGAAAGAAAGGTGTTCGTTCCCACTAACGGCCTCAGAGGCGTCCTCGTCACCTGCTGCCCCGCCTCCCGCCCAATCTTCCTCTGCAAGACCCGGGGCGGACGGGATGCTCAGGAGCCCGTACAGGGAGCGGCCGGCCTTACCTGGTTCGCGGCTCCCGGCCTCCCCGCCCCGCGAGCCGGTCCCCGCCGCTGGGACAAGCGAGTTAGCAATCTCGGGGGCGCTCGGCTGGGGGCGTCCGGCTTTTGTTCCGCTCCAGGGTTCGGCCCGGCGGTGCACCTGGGACCCTCGCGCGCGGCAGCGGAGACAAAGACGTGCCCGGCCGGCCGCTGAGCCCCGGCGCCAGGGCCGACGTGCAGGGCTCCCCCGGGCGCGCCCAGCCGGCCCAGCGCGGCCGCGAGCCCGGAGGCGGGAGAACCAAGGAAAATGGGGGCGCGAAGCAAGCACGGATAGGGCAGACGTGGAACCCGCCCTCGCACCGGGCCGGTCCCGCTGGCAGGCGCCGCGCCTTTCCGCTCGTTCTCCCGACCCTCCTAGCCCTCAGTGGCTGCATTGGCAGCAGCCCCACCGCCTCGGCGACCGCCTCACTTCGGCGGCGGACAATGGCGGCCGCTCCCCCGGCGTCTAAGAGGGCGCACCGCGCGGGCTCCTGGGAGTTGTAGTTCCGGGCGGTACGCTTCCGGTTGGTCCGGAAGCGTCACCACCACAGGTACCAGGAGCATTTCCGCCTCGCGTCCCGCCTTCGCGGCTTCGCGGACTTACCTGGTCGTCTAGTATCCCAACTACTGGCCAGCGGGATGGTGCTATCCCGGGCGCAGACCACCCTCCCCGCCGCCGCTGCCCAACTCCGGAAGGCCTGGGTAGGTCGCGAGCCCATGAGCCTCAGTTTGCCCGTCTGTGAAATGGGAGTCCCCGGCAGCTGCCCTTAGCAATGCGAAACTAAGTCTGATCGTTTTCTGTGTTTCGTGCGCACTTCTGGAAGCTTCCGAGGGGTCCTTCCATTTAAGAAGCTGGTCTGAAGCTTCTCCCTGCGAATGAAGCCCCAGTGTTTAGAACCTAAGGGATTTTCCGAGATGTCTTTCTAGATGGCGAAGCTTTATGGGAACCTAAATTACCATCGACCTATGTTGCGATGTGTCCTGGAGTGAGCGTTCATGCGAGGCGCTGAAGATGAGAGCGGGGAACGTGGTTAACGAAATCTGCCGGGCGGCTGTTACTCAAACCGCTATTGAAGAGCGTGGGCCAGAACGGCGAAAGGGCTCCTCACACAGCACGGGGACGATTCCTGGGCCACCACCCCCAGCCTCCAGCACTAGCTGAACCGAGAATCCCCAAGCCCACTGACAGCCCTTTGGGGCCCTGTTGGAACCTCTTTCCCACCAGAGTTTGAGATGACCGAGCTTCCCTGGCTCCCCACCTTTTCCTCCTTGTTCCGGATTCATCTTGCCTGTGCATTTGTCCTCCCTAGTTTAGACTACGATAGTCAGAGAGGATCAATGAGGGGGCCTGGTTGCGGACAGCCTTAGGGGCATGGTGACGGCTCCGACTCAGGCTTTGAGTGAAATGGGAAGCCATCGCATGGTTCCGAGTAGAGCACTGATGAACTCTGACCACACCAAAAGGTCCCTTTGGTTTCTCTGTGGAGAATAGACTAAGAGGGTAAGGAAAGGAGCAGGATGACCCCGAAACCAATGCAGTAATCGAGGTGGGAAGTGATGGCAGCTGAGATCAGAGTGATCAGCGTCCAGTTGTGGAGGTTAGTATTTTAAAGATAGAGACAATAGGGGGGCGCCTGGGTGGCTCAGTGGTTAAAGCCTCTGCCTTCAGCTCAGGTCATGGTCTCAGGGTCCTGGGATCGAGCCCCGCATCGGGCTCTCTGCTCCGCAGGGAACCTGCTTCCTCCCTCTCTCTCTGTCTGCCTCTCTGCCTACTTGTGATCTCTGTCTGTTGAATAAATAAATTAAAAAAAAAAAAAAAAAGATAGAGACAATAGGTAGTAGGTTCATGAGCTGCAGCCCAGCCTCTAATAGCCAGAGCACGGCAGGCTCCTTAAGGAACAGCTATTCACCAAGGGCCTTTTTGGGTCGAGAATGGGTTATAGGGGTGAGGATACCGCTTCCTCTGACCCACTCCATTTACCCCAGTGTGCTGCGTGGCACTCCATTCTCTCCATGCTATGAAGTGGCAAAAGCTGGGCCACACAGCCATCGTGGATGCCCCTATTCTGGGGGTCTGAACGATTTCTGAGCTGCCACAGGTTTCTGAATGGGAAGAGATCAGAGCAGTAAGGAAATCTACGTACTCCTGGGGCATGCCTTTCCTCTGAGAGATGCCTAAAGAGTGGTCACTCCATGCCACCTGAAGGGATCTGGCTAGTTCCATTTCTGCACTGCCAGATGATGAGAATGAAAGGTAAAGGAAGGGGGAATCCAGGGCACACTCCTTGGGACAAATAAGACCTTTTATGAGATTACAACCGTGGGGTCACCAGTAGTAAAATAACTAGTACAAGTAAGTTAGACTTGAAGTTATGTATGCTCTCAAATCCTAGGATTAATTCATCCTCACCAGCTAGGAGCCCAGGAGTCATTAAGTTCATCATTCTGTGGGAGCGTGAGTCCTCCACAGGGAAGTCAGCATGCCCCTGCTGTCAGTGGCCATGCAAAAGCTTCCCCGCACACAGCTCTCCTCGCTGCCTCTGCTGCCAGCTCAGCATTCAGCCTGCAATTTTCTCATCCCAAGGATTTAATGGTGGAGGTCTGCTCATTTTCCTTTTAAGAAAAGCATGTAAAATATAATAAAGTTGTAAGGAATTCAGGGAAACCCTGTGAAAGCACTCTTAAACTTGGAAAAAATGAACCAAAAACAAATCCATGTGGCTGAAACTCCACGTTCCCCTCTTCAACAGAAACCACCATTCAGAGATAATCACTATCCTGAATGAGATGTGGATGGCTCTGCGGTATTCAAACTTTACATGTATCCCAGAGCAATACAAAACATTTACTTTGCATATTTTGCATTCATATAAATGTATTAATATGAGATTTTATCTGTGGGGCACCTGGATGGCTTGGTGGGTTAAGCCTCTGCCTTCGGCTCAGGTCATGATCTCAGGGTCTTGGGATCAAGCCCTGAATCGAGCTCTCCACTCTGCCGAGAGCCTGCTTCCCTTCCTCTCTCTCTGTCTGCCTCTCTGCCTACTTGTGATCTCTCTGTCAAATAAATAAATAAAATCTTTAAGAAAAAAAAAGATTTTATCTGTAACTTGCATTTTTTGCTTCAAGTAATTTATCATTGCAATATTTATCCTTTTTGATATGTGAAGGTCTATTTATTTTCACGGCTATCTAGTTTCCAGTAAAATGAGTATAACAGAACTTGGCTCTCCGGTCTACTTTCGATGGCCACTTAGGTTCCTTCGTAAATATTCATTAAAGGACCTACTATGCAGGGTGCCTGGGTGGCTCAGTGGGTTAAGCATCCAACTCTTTTTTTTTTTTAAGATTTTATTTATTTATTTGACAGACAGAGATTACAAGTAGGCAGAGAGGCAGTCAGAGAGAGGAGGAAGCAGACTCCCTGCTGAGCAGAGAGCCCGATGTGGGGCTCGATCCCAGAGCCCGATGTGGGGCTCGATCCCAGAGCCCGATGTGGGGCTCGATCCCAGGACCCTGGGATCATGACCTGAGCTGAAGGCAGAGGCTTTAACCCACTGAACCACCCAGGCGCCCCTTAAGCATCCGACTCTTGATTTCAGTTCAGGTCATGATGTCAGGGTCCTGAGACTGAGGCCCCCCCGCCCACATCAGGCTCTGGGCTCAGCAGGGAGTCTGCTGAAGATTCTGTCTGTCCCTCCCCCCACCTCTCTCACATGCTCTGTCACTCTCTCAAATGAGTAAATCAATCTTTAAAAAAAATAAGAATCTATTATGCAAGGATCTAAGAATCAAGTTGTGAATAAAAATGACAAAAGCGGGGCGCCTGGGTGGCTCAGTGGGTTAAAGCCTCTGCCTTCGGCTCAGGTCATGATCCCAGGGTCCTGGGATCAAGCCCAGTATCGGGCTCCCTGCTCAGCGGGGAACCTGCTTCCCCCTCTCTCTCTGCCTGCCTCTCTGCCTACTTGTGATCTCTGTCTGTCAAATAAATAAATAAAATCTTTAAAAAAAAAAAGTTTAAAAAAGAAAAAAAAAGACAAAAGCACTGCCCTCAAGGAGCTCACATTCTGGAGGAGAGTGCACCATAGAAAAATAAGTAAAAGGACACCTGGGTCGCTCAGTGGGTTAAGCCTCTGACCTCAGCTCAGGTTGTGATCTCAGGGTCCTGGGATCAAGTCCCACATGGGGCTCCTTGCTCAGCGGGGAGCCTGCTTCTCCCTCTGCCTGCTCCCCGTTGGTGCTCACGCTCTGACAAATAAATAAATAAAACCTTTAAAAAATATATATATAGAACACATCAGATGGGGTTAAAGGCCGAGTAAGGAGAGGGGGTGCTGGAGGAGGTGGTTGTGATTTTAAGTTGGTGGCTAGGGAAGGCCCCACCCAGAAGGTAATATGCAAGCAAAGACCTAAAGGCAGGGAGAAAGCCAGCCACGAGGGCGTCGGAGCACTGTAAGCAGAAGGCTTCCAGCTCCTATAAATGCTGCTGCTGTGAAAATTCATATGCAGGTTTCCGTATGGACAGACGCAGGGTCTCTTGGAAGTAGGCCCTCAGAGTGGTACTGATGGGCCATAGGAATGAACATTTATGTCCAGCACTGATATATGTTTCTAGAAGGATCGCACCTTTTCATACGCCCCAGCCACGGTCAGGAGTTCCACTTGCTTCACATCCTCATGAGTGCTTGGTAGTGTCAGCTTTTTCTTTTTCTTCTTTTTTTTTTTTTTAAGATTTTATTTATTTATTTGACAGAGAGAGATCACAAGTAGACAGGCAGGCAGAGACAGAGAGAGGGAAGCAGGCTCCCTGCCGAGCAGAGAGCCCGATGTGGGGCTTGATCCCAGGACCCTGAGATCATGACCTGAGCCAAAGGCAGCAGCTTAACCCACTGAGCCACCCAGGCACCCCAGTGTCAGCTTTTTCAATTTTTGCCAAATTCATGGGTAGAAAACAGTATTTCATTGTGAGATGTTTGCTCTTCTCTCTCTGGTGAGATTCAGCATCTTTTCACAGTTAGCCATTCGTGTGTTCTCTCCTTGAATTAACTTCTCACTTCATGCGTTTTTCTCCCAGGTTGTCTTTTTCTTACTGGTTTG